ATATATATATATATATATCATTTTTGCACCTGCCCGCTTCTCATTAAACAGCGCGATTGGAGCGCGGGTGAGGCGGCTGCGTATTCGCATAGATACTCACAGAGCGCGCGTCAGCCCTTTGGAACGGAGACAACTAATTGGTGCAGCATCCAATGGGGATTAAAGGACTGTGGTCGGAGGTGCGGCCGCTCTGCCGACAGTCCCACCTGTCGAACTTCCGTGGTCAGCGTGTCGCTGTCGACATGTACGTCTGGCTTCACCGCGGGATTCTCGGCAGCATTCAGCTGAGCGGTGAGGAGGAAGCGCAGGCGTTCATGGAGTCCGCGGAGGCTTCATTGGGTGCCGGCGGCGCGGAGGGGTTGGTTCGCCTCAACGCGAAGTTCCTACAGTTTGTGGTGAATCGCGTCGAGCTTCTCTTGCGGTGTGGCATCCACCCCGTGCTTGTTTTTGACGGTGCCCCGATCCCAATGAAGAGTGGCACTGAAGAGGAGCGGCAGATGACGCGGGCCGCGCGTCTCGCAGCGGCGGTGCGTGTGCTGAAGGATGGATCTGCTGCGAATCCCCGCATCCGACAGGAGGCGGCGCAGTTGCTGGAGAAGGGCGTGGACATCACAACAGAGCTGGCACATGCAGTGATCCAGGTGCTCCAGGAACGCCGGCTGGAGTGTATCGTCGCCCCGTACGAGGCCGACGCTCAACTCGCGTACATGTGCAAGGAGGGCTACGTGCAGGCTGTCATCTCAGAGGACAGCGACCTCATTGCGTACCATTGCCCGTGCCAAATCGCCAAGCTAGATGCGCACGGAAACTGTGAGGTGTTCCTCGCGCAGGATCTGAAACGGTGCCCGAGTTTTAGCGGATTGTCTTATGAGTCCTTTTTAGTTGGTTGCATTCTCAGCGGGTGTGACTACCTGCCGAGTCTGCGTCACATTGGTGTAAAGAAGGCGTTTCGCTTAGTTGCCCAAGCCACATCGGTCCCGAGCCTTATGCATGCGCTCGAGGTTAAGTTCGGCTTCTCCAAGGAGGAGCTGCGGGAGTATGAGTCTAAGCTGCAGCAGGCGTTCTACTGTTTTGCGCACCATTTTGTATTCGACCCTGTGCGCAAGGAGGTGGCGCACTTGACGCCGCTTCCAGCAGGAATTCCGCTCAAGGCGAACCTGCTTGGGAAAGGGCTGCCGAGGGACATCGCGGAGAAGGTGTGTGGTGAGTGCCTGTACGATCCTGTGACGTTGGCACTCTACCGAGGCACCTACCAGTACTGCGTGCAGGAGTACTGGAGGGTTACGAAGGGCGGACAGACATCACTGAATGCCTTTGGCGGATTTCAGGACATTCAGTCACCGCGGGTGACACTCCCGCTGGCTGCACGCGGCGAAAATGCAATACAGCGACGTGCCTCGCCGAGGACGACGCTCTTTTCGTCCCCGCTGCTGAAAGTACGCGAGGCGTCAGGGTTCTGCACGAACACGCTCCATACACCAGCGGTGGTGCGCTCCAAGTACTTCACACAGAGCCGTTGGAAGGTGGAGGACTGGGAAAGCGATGGCAGCGAGAACACTCCCACCGCTGGCACACCCGGCGAGCCTGAAAGCACGGCTCCTACTACTACTACTACTACTACTGCGTCTTCTTCTTCTTCTGGTGCTACCGCAGCTGCTACGTCCACAGTGGATGCGACACCCCCTTGTGCATTCCCTGGCATACGCTTCACAATGAGTGAGTCTTTGGCGTCGTCGGCGCTGACAACACCGTCCACGGCGAATGTGAAGGCGGCAGACGCGCTTGACGGGGCTGAAATGGTGGAGGAGATGGAGGGGCAATCGCAAAAAAATAAAGATACCTCTGGCCATCGTTTTTCTTTTGAAGAGGCAGTGCTGACCTCACCATCGGACACCGGTATGGAAGTGAGGGGGAGGCGGCGAGGGGCAACCGCGCCTGATGCTGACAGCAGCGAGTGCCAGGGGGAGAGGAGTGGCCGTTGCCCATTCGGCTACGCACAGTGCGGGCGGCGGCACTCCATCTTTGAGCAGTGCTTCCAGGGAAAGAACTGGTCGAGGGATGCCAGCTACTGCAGTAAGGGGGAGAGCTTTGACGGCAACAGTAGTAAAGATGACGTGTGTCTTCCTCCCACACCCACAGAGGCCGGCACAAAGCGTCACCGCGAGGCGTTACCGCCGCCACTGTTTCGTCCCACATTTAAGCCCCCGGCGTCCACTGAAGGAAGGCCTACGGACGCCCCGTTGTGTGAGGGTGCAACATCCCCGACTCGTAAGGGAGCAATGAAGACATCCACTGCTCAGGCTCTTCAATTGATGAATCGCCTGACGGGTGGAAGATCCGGCGCCGCCGTGGCAGCATTGCAGGCCGGTGAAGGCACTGGTGGCACCAAAGCTGCGTCGGAGCTCTTTGAGAAGTTGGCATTTTCGCGGTGATAACACGCGCAGGTGAGCCACTCCTCCTACATCCTAGTTTCAATCCTAGAAAATAGATGTCCTGCGCATAGATGATAACTCCCCCCCCCCCCCNCCCCCCCCCCCCCCCTGTCACTCCGCGCTTTTTTTTTTGTTCAACGAGAACCCTTCTTGCCGATGCAGAAGATGCACCAACTTCATCATTCGGACTCTCGCTTTGTTAAGGTGTCCGTCTTTGTGTGCGCGTGCGTCCGCGTGTGTGTGTGTCTCCATACGCACACATGTGTTTCCCTCGCCGCGGTGAACGTCCCAAGTATTCTCTTTGTGTTTCACATGATGTGTTTTCTCCTCGCAACTCGTTTCTTATTCGCGGAATGCACCTGCGCGGCTTACCTTGGCTCCCCTAATTCCGTGGTGTTTTTGTTCTTTCCCCCTCTTTTGTCTTGCTAAAAGAAGAGAGCCAAGTTTGAGTGTCGTTCTGTGTGTGTGGTGGGGGTGGGGACGAGTGCTGCTGCACTATGAAGGCTGGAGGCAAAGGCGGGGAGGTGCCTCGACCGCTGCGGCAACTGCTGCGCCGCCTCCCTGTAGGACGCTCAACCGTCTACCTTAACGAGCTGCACCCCCATACTCAGCAACTTTTTCTCAAAGAATGCATGGAGGCGGAGGACCAACGGCGCCGGGGCTGTGCGAACGCTGTCAGAGGCGTTCGTGCTCTGCGAGAGGACGTGAACATGCACCCCGCCGCACGGTTTGCGAGAATGAGTGAGACGGAGGCATCGCAGCAGAGCGGAGACACACAGCGCTGCACATCGGTACCCGTACTAGATCACATGGAGTCGGTGCTCGANCTGCCGCAGGGGTCGAGTGGGCAGTTGGACGCATATCGAGCGCCCCACCCCCCTTTGCTTGGAAAGCCGCATTTATTCCTTTTAGCGCTGCCACGCGGCATGCTCGAGAGAAGAGAGAGACATGGCGTTTGCCGTCAGCGCTCTGTGGAGGCGGTGCTTCAGGAGCATCTCGTGCATGTGAATAGGACGCTGTATTGGCGGCAAGCAGCGCCACAGCTGATTAAGGCGAATTGTGCGGTGGGTGATGCCCCTGACGTCATGCTACAGGCCATATGGGGCTGCACCATTCCGCAGGCGCGTCAGGCAGCAGAAGTTGCTGCGGCACATGGCTACCGTGCCTTTCTCCTCGGCTACGCGCGACAGCCGCTCCTGCTGAATGGGGGACTAACAGTGCGGGAGTTGGGCAACTGGTGCCCTAACGCCTTCCGTAGTTTTCTCTTGGACGTGCGCTCAGTAGAGCGGCCCAAGTCCTCGTTGTGTACGACTGAACGACTACAGCTGCTGGAGGAGGCGCAGCGTGGCTTCTTCACCATCAGTGAGGATGAGAGGAATGACATACACACCGATGGCGGCAGCACTAGCAACAGCAAGAACAACAACAGTGGTCCTGTGCAGAGTTCTGGCAAGGAGGCGTCACAGGCGGAATGTGCGTCGCCATTTGCCGTTGCAGAGTTGATCGTGGATGCGAAGCGTGATGCTCTCGTGCAGTGGTCACAAGTCCGGGACAATCCCCTCACTGCGCGTCTTTTTGAGGCTCTATACGATCGGCGCCATTTCTGCGTCGCCGATGCAGTGCTGCACGCGTCGTTGCGCGTTGTGCTGCCGTTTCTCCTCGGCGAAGTCGTATCGCCACCAACTGGTGTGTCTGGGAGTAGCGGAGAAGATGACGTCGCCCCCCTAACGAAGTTGCTGCGTTGGTCCGAGCTGCACACACTTTTGCGTTGGCATTACTTTGAGCCCGTCTTCGGCTCCTTGTCGCGGATTGCGCGGGCGGAGGAAATCGCTGCGGTGGGTGGGGGCGCAGATCCGTACATTCTCCCCCTGCACGACGCCTTTGTCGCACGGTTCTTGCTCCCTCGCATGCGTGAGTATTACCACCGCAATAATCCATGCAGCAGCAGCAGCAGCAGCCGCGAGGTGCTCGCTGCCACTCAGAACAGGGGCGCTGCTGCACTGACGCCACCTACCGGCACTGTTGGTGTCCTTGACTGCTTCAACAGCATGGTGAGCGAGCGATACGGCGGCGGTGGAGAAACGACGGCGGAGGGGCGGGCAAGCGTGAGTGAGAATGGGGAGGGGCTGATTGATGATGGCTGTTCCACTAGGGTGTACCATGTGTACTTCACGTTGGAGGACCTGCCGAGTCTGGTGAAGTATCTGCTGTACTTCGACCAGCACTTTGTAATTGCCAGCAGTGGCACGAACGTTACCTTTTCTCTCGCGTGAGAAGCAGAAGCCGTGGAAGAGAAAGAAGGAAACCAGTGGGAGGAGGTGAGAGCCCTCATTCTATTTTTTTCTCTGTGCGTGTGTGTGTGTGTATGTGTGTGTGTCTGTGCGTAAGAGAGAAGGATGGGCTCGTGTTAACTGGCACGCCGCCGTTCTTGTTTCCTCTCCATCGTCACAGGATGTTTCTGCGTGCGCTGGTGGTGGCACGGCGAATGTGTGCTGCAGGCTGAAGGGAAGGGGCGATGCATCTATCGACTGCCTCCTCTTCAATCACTCCACAGATTCTTTCTCTTCTCTGCCTGTTTATCATGCCGATTGTTTGCAGCGTCCGTGAGGAACAGAGGCACAGACACGTACACACACACACAACAACAACAACAAAAAGCTGGCTGTGCTCGTGCATAGATCAAGTAGTTACGGAGAAATGACGACGACAATCCTGCAGCAGCCTTACCCGCAGCGGCCACGCTCTGGGAGCAGCGTGTGCTTGGTGCATGCTCAGAAGTCCCTTCTGCCGTCCCCCGGTTTCCCCACTGACGGCAGCAGCAGCAGCAGCAGCAGCAGCAGCAGCAACAGCAACAAAAAAGGCATGCGGTGCCACGAAACAACCGCAGCTCCGTTTAGGCATAGTGTGGAGCGGCGGATGCCCCGCTGGTGCCACGTTCTGCCGCCGTCGTCTATGCAGAATGACGAAGCGCACTGCGGGCATTGGAGGTCGTCCTGTGTGGAGGTTGGGCAAGCACGCTTTGCGGCGTGTGCTGCTCCTACGGTTGATGTGAAGCCGCGGACCCCCCCCAGCTGCGTGCGCCGTGTGCGCTTCCAAGGTGATGACGTTAAAGAATCTCTACCATTGCCGGCGCGTTGCTTCATCGAGCAGTTGATTGGCTTCATTATTCCTGTCCTACTCGCGCTGTTCTTCCTGTTGGTTCTTTTGCACTAGTCTGGGTTCTATTGCGTTCTTCTTCCTTCACCCTCTGTGTATCCCCCCCCCTTGTTTTTGTTGTGTTTCTCCGCATGTTTGCTTCCAGGCGGTGCTTAACCCGCCTTCTTTTCCACACGTGCCCCATAATGCCCCCCACCCCCTCTGTTCTCTGCAGCGGCTGCTTCTCTTTCTTGCTGCTGCAGTGTTTGTGCGGGGTGCGGCTTCTGTGCGCGTTCTTGG